ATACATTCACCTTGATTATCGTCAGAGCGGCGAAATCAGAAGACGAAAAGCTGTTCAGTATCCAGACGTTGTCACGTCTATATCGATGCTTTATTAATAGTATCGTCCACTGTAGATGAACATTATCACCATTTAGAATTATTACTTCAACGTTTATCTGACCATCAAATAGTTGCCAATCCGGATAAGTGTGAACTTGGTCGATCTGAACTTATCTTCCTTGGCCACAGGATCACACGAGGTGTTCAGTCGTATGAGGATAAGGTTCGTGCCATAACAGAGTACGCCTCACCGTTTTCCCTCATAGACCTAAAAGCATTTTTGGAACCCGTAAACTTCTAACGGAGGTTCATTCCTCACGCTGCTGAACGATTACGATCATTGGCGGACCTACTTCGTGTTAATCCACGTAATCTCGTAATTCCGCACGAGTAGCGTTCCAAGAGGTAAAACAGTGTATTGCACGTACAACGCTCCTTATGCATCCCGATCCATCAACCGTGCTTAGCATATTATTATATTATTTAACACCGGCTTGAGATCAAGCTTGGTGCCAACGCCATGACAATATTAACAATAACGATAACGAGCGCGGGGGTTAGGGTACAGAGTATAGGAAAAGAATGTAGCTGGCTGAATGGGAGATTATGAATAAAAGGAATAACAATTTTTGGGGGTGTTTCACCGCACACTTTTTGAATTTTTTGTTGTTGTTGTTGTTGTTTTTACGGGGTACGGGATTTCGATAGACAGACCGTACCGCATTCGCGTCACTGACTTCTATTCTGCGCCATATCTCTCAGCGTCTCTAACCATAGACAACCTTCATCCCTTGGGCCCCAACCTGGAAGGCGGGCTGCACCAACCGAAGCCAAAGCTGAAGCCAGCTTCTTTATGCCTCTAGCCCATGTCATGGTCTGACCGCCGTGTTGCTTCTTCCAGCCTTGCCCGGAACGTGCAAAGAGAGCACGGAAAGGTAGTCGATGGGCAGGCATACGCAATACGTAACCCAGCCATCGGAGGCGGTGTAGAGCGATTACTTCTGTAAGAGAACGACTATCCACACCCAACACGACGACGGACCTCGTCATTGCTCACCCGGTGTTCCCACTAGACACGAGCAATGCTTCGAAGACATCGGTGGTCAGATACAGAAAGTCGATTAGCATCCTCCGCTCGGAGAGGCCAGGTCTCGCAACCGTAAAGCA